TTCCATGTATAAAACCAATGCAGAGCTCTTAGTGTCAGAATTTTAGGTTTTGTTGATGAGAAAGATTTTGCCTTTTTTTAAAAAAACTTTACTTTTGCAGGCAGTAACACAGTGTTATCTTCAGAGAAAAGTGTCTGATAGTAACATTGCACTAATTAGAATTCAATACCTTTATTATATTAGAGTTAAAATCTTTTTTAGGAAAAATAAGTTTTGTGAATTATTATTATTGTTCTCATAGCTAGTCTTCCTTTCTAGGTGTGACAGTGCTGTTATTTGAGAGCAAGGCCCAGCCTGAATGACTTTTTTTTATTAAGATTTCTTAGAGAATTCAGAGTAGTGTTTTCTGAAAACATTAAGTGCTGATTCTATTTATCTAATGTTGCAAGAAGTAGATTTCCCTCCTTCCACAGACTTTCACAAAATATAAAAGAGTAATTCATTTTTTTTCCAATCATTTCATAGGAATAGTCACATGAATTCCAGAAATCAAGATCATAAAAAGAATATTATTCTTTTGAATTTATTCTGCCAGAACCTTTCTAAGTGACAGTGAAATAGATACGTAAATATAATTTAAAAATCATTATAAACTAGCATCCTTTTCAACATATAATTTAGAAGTCAAATGATTAATTGGTTTTACATCATCTTTATTTTTAGGCACAATAATGTCACTTCTGCAGTATTATGCAGTTCATCTGAAAGGTCTATCAAAAACAGCTTCACCCAAATTAGGAGGACAGTATATAACTCTCAGCATTCTCTAATGAATTATGTGGTTGAATATAACATGCATTGCTCTGGAAAAAAATAGTAATGATGCAATATTTGTTTTTATTCCATTCATTGCATATGCCAAACTTACCTTCATGTATAAAAAATAATGGATTTTTGAAGACAATAAAAAATTAATGATTTTCAATTGAATATTAAAAACCAATTGGTAATTAATAAACAAATATATTCTAGGCTATTATAGTAGTTTGCTATTACTGCCCTGATAAGTTTCTATAACCCTAATTACTTAAAATGACACAAATTTATTATCTCATGTTTTTGTAGTAGTTTGGCTGAGTTGGTTTCCCTGCTCTGGCTTTCATAAGACCCAAATAGGGCTGGGGATGTGGCTCAAGCAGTAGCGCGCTCGCCTGGCATGCGTGCGGTGCAGGTTCGATCCTCAGCACCACATACAAACAAAGATGTTGTGTCCGCTGAAAACTAAAAAATAAATATTAAAAAAAAAATCTCTCTCTCTCTCAAAAAAAAAAAAAAAAAAAAAGACCCAAATCAAGTTGTGAGCTGTCTCTTATCAGGAGGCTCTGGGAAGAATATACAGTTCCTTGTAGCTAATGACTGAAGTCACCCTTTCATTGATGCCTGTCAGTTGGGGCCCTTCCTACCCCAGTCTTGGTATATGGGCCCCTGATTCTCAAGGCCAAAAACAGCATGCTGAATTCTTCTCATGACTATAGTATCTCTGACTTTCCCTCTGCCAAATCTGTTACTGCAGCCAGACAAAGTGTTCAGCTTTTAAGAGTTCCTGTGATTATATTGTGTCTACCCAGATAATTCAGGATAACAAATCTTGAGTTTGATAACAATTTCATTTGCAAACTTCCTGTTGGCCATGTAATATAAGATATTCACAGACTTCAGGGATTAATACATGGATATCTTTGGGGACTATTCTTTAAATTGTTACACCCACTAAAAATAAAAAAAGAAATGCAAAATTACAAAATAACAAATCTATGGAAAGAGTCTCTTTCTCTCTAATAGTGCTGTACTTCTCGGAAGGGAAAAGTTCTCTCTCTCTTTCTTTCACACACACGCACACACACACACACACACACACACACATGAATAATAAATAATGGCATATATAAACTACAGAATATTATACAGTCATAAAAGATGGTGTCATTAAAGTGTATTTTATTAATCAGTAATATAACAAAATGTAATTTAAGCAAGCAAAAACAAAAAACATCCCCAAACTAGGTATACTGCAAAATCCATTTTCATGTCTATCTAAAGATACACATATATGTACACATATTTATGCTTTTGTATTTTCACATATTTATATAATATATACACAAGCATAAATATATCTGTATGTATGTATGATTTACATGGCATATATAATATCTTTATATACTAAACATATGAGAATATGGGCATCACAATCTCTGGGCAATGATATTATATTTTTCTTTCCATTTTCTGTGTTATCACATTTTATAAAATATCATAATTTAAAAAAAAATGCTATCTTAAATTTAAAAGAATGATACCATGCAAAATTTATCCTATGAAATAACTTTTCCCCCTATACAAACACACACACACACACACACACACAATAATACAATAATCCAAAGAGTATCACACTGCTTATTATTAATTAACCACAGAAGCACATATGGTATCCTGAGACAGGGCTAGGGAGAACTGAGGACATTTCATTGCTTATTAGCAGATCCATCACAGAATATAATTGAAGGAGATTTTTCCCTCCACATTTTTCATTCATGCATTATAGTTGTACATAATGGCGGATTTGTTGTTACATATTAGTACATGCACACAGTATAACAATATAATTCGGCCAATACCCTTCCCCAGTACTTCCCCTATTTTTCAGGTTCACAGAAACCTTTGTAATATATACACACACACACACACACACACACATACACACACACACCATTTAAAGGCTTTCTTTCTCCAAACTTCAGTATAAAGATTGTCAGGTGTTTTTGTTTCTTTATTTGTTTGTTTTTCCCTGTACCTTGATTCTCTGCATCCAAATGTAAAAACCTCTGAGACAGGTTGCACTTCAGGTTCTTTGGAGTTGTCTCAGGCTGCCATATAGTGTTCCAAGGCACTTACATCACCATATCTCTTGAAGCAACCTCAGTGGACTCCTCCAATGAGGGAAAAATCAAACAAATGAAGCAAGATCCTTTCCTCAGCCTGGATGTGGGTTACTCTATACTGAATTGGAAGATATCGCTAGAGCCCTTTAAGAGTAAAAGAAAAATTACATGTGTACCTCATGCATTTTCTATGTCAAAAACATTTCAAAAGGATCTCTACTATCATCTTTTTCTTAGAACAATAAATCCCTGCCAAGGCAGTTAAGCACAATTCCAAGCCCCATCCCATGCCTTCATGTTTTGTTAATATCGAGACGTTGCTTTAAGTGAGGAACATTGACATACGTCATTACCAAAGGTTATTACTGTCATTGCTCCATTTTTTCTGAATTTTGCCAAGAAGGCAGTCATTCTCCTTTGGTCTGAATAGTGCTGTGTTTCTCAGAAGGGAAAAGTTAGCATTCCTGCAAGCCTGCAATTGGAGAAAAAGGTTTTCAGAGGCTGAATACTTTTAGGTATGACAGGCCACTTGCTACTGACTCAGAATAAAAGAGATAAAGGATCAGAGGATTAGATTGTCCCTAGTCTGTCCTTAGGAAAGCTGATCCACAAGAATTGTGGGAGTAAGATTGTCATGTAGTTTTTATTTTTTCTGGTTACATTTTCAGGAGTGGCAAGCATAGCACAGAAATCAAACTCTCATTAAAATGTATTGCCAAAAATTGGAGATAGTCTGTTAATCACAGGCTACAAATTGGAGACTCAAGCTTAAGCTACCCATGGATTAGTTTGGTCAGCAACAGGCTGCAGAGACATACCTGACTTTGAAATTTGGAGCAAAAAGCAAGACTGCAAATGATGTCTATGAATAGAAAAGAGAAAAATCCAAAGTCAAAGATCAATGTGGGGTGGGGCTGGGGTTGTAGCTCAGTGGTAGAGCACTTGCCTTGCATTTGTGAGGCACTGGATTTGATCCTCAGCACCACATAAAATCAATAAAGGTATTGTGACTATTTACAACTAAAAGAATACTAAAAAAAAGATCAGGTGGAGGAATGGATCTGGTGACACAAGTGCCAAATTTTGGTTTTTTAATGTGGTACTTTTGGTGTTGGGAAAGATCAGCCCAAAAGCCTTGCTGCTGAAGTAGCTCTGACACATTCAAATCATATCCTCGATAATCTACCTGCATGACAGGGCTATTTATTACTTTGCTTTATCTACTAGATTAGATCCTATAGCTTTAATATTTGGTTTGTCCTTATAGTTTGTTTGATATGCCCCATCAGCCCAAATTTCCCTTTCACTATCATTTAGATATTAATTATGTCCCAATTCCAACTTCAAGTTTGTTGTCCAAAAGGTGGACTTTGAAACCTTTGAACTCTACCTTACTTTTTGAATTACTGACATTGTGACATAGTCAGCCAGAGGCAGTCTCTCATAAAGGTAAAGAATTTAAGGTCTCTATTCAGGATCAAGAGAATACATTCCTGTAATATGTAGCCAAGAGTGATTGGATAATTTTCAATCTGCAGTTGTGCCTCAATTGTTCTAGAACAAGACCTAGAAAATGAATTATTAATGCCATCTCTTCTTATAGAACAATGGCTCTCATTCTTTAGTGTGAATAAGAATTACCTAGGGAAAAAAATATTTTTTAAATTACTTCTAGGGTAATTCTCTAGAAAATCTATAGCTCCACCATTTCCCACCATGTTCTTATGCTGGCACATGCAGAGTGCAATTTTCATTTTAGAGCGGGGTGAATAAGCTGGAATGGATGACAGGTAACATGGGGCCTCAGTCTCCCCATATGAAATGGTATCACAAATTTATGTTTTAATAAAATGTCTACATGTTATTCAAACAGAATTAGAAAGGATAAAAATGAAGACTCACTTAATAGTTGGAGGAAGATAAACACAGTCATGGAATGTATATATGATTCCAAAACCCAATGTAGCAGAGCATAAATAGTCAATGTCCTCAAACAGTATTCTGATGTTTCTTCAGTGTCCCACGTGTCTCCACTCAGAGAGATATACTGACCAGGGAGTGGGAGTATTTGTTCCTCTTGACAGTTATGTTTCCTATTGACATTCTTGGTTGTAGCCAATCTCTGTGAGGTCATGCCATGTGCACCTGCTCTGTAGACATGAAGTTGATTGTGGTGGGGTGATCGGTGATACCTGGCCTTGAGTATGCTGAGAAGGAGTAAAGCCTGGAAAACAAGGAACAAATCAAGGTAATAAATGGCCACCCTCCTGGGACTCTGGAATGGCAGAGAACTGCCCCATGGGCGGGGCATGGGGCTTTCTGCTACATTGATATCCTGGAGCCAGTTTTCAACTTCTCCAATTGCTTTTTAAAATATTAATTGAATTACTGGTTGTTTTTTCATCTGAGAACTTTCAAAGGCAGGGACCAGGTCTCATCCATCTTTTTGTCCTGAAAACCTAGCACAATTTTCAATAAGTGTCAAATAAATAAATAAATGATTGGGTAAAGAAATGAAAACACAAAGAAGACAATGATAGAGAGACAGTGGGAGAGAGGAAGGAATGCAAGTGCTTTAGGAAGAAGTGACCTCATCTTCCACCCCACCCTGATTTACCCCAGACTACGTGCTTCATTGTTTTACTCTTCACTTGTTTCTAGTGACATAAGCACCCTCCAAACAGTTGGCAACAAAAATGGGACATTTGATGTGTATCATGAAGAAATACTTCTACATGTTTATATTGATAGTTTATTTATTTTTTTCTTAAATCCCTTTTATTTCTTCTTTAGAAATCCACTGATGAGATCGTGTTAAAGAGCTAGGAAAAGAACTTCGTTTTGAAGTCTAATATATGTTCTATTTGAAAGAACTGCTACTGGTGTCTGAGAATAATTAACAACACACTTTAATTTATGAACGCCTGTGCTCAAAGGTCCTCATCCGTGGGAGGGGTAGAGAGAGAAAGAAAGACTGGGAGGCTAATGGAAAACTTCATGTCCTTGTGCTCAGCTCTGGTGCAGAATCCGAGAGTGGTATTGAAGAGGCCAGAGGAACACTGCAGAGCTCCGTTTTACATATGTGCATTATAAATCGGTAACCTCCATATTTTAGGTCTTAGGCAACAGTCTCTCTCCTCCAGTGACTATGATTTAAGAATAACAATGTGACAAGAACATTGAGATGAGAGGATAAGTGAATAAAGAAAAAGGATGGTGGTGAATAATTAAAAGGAGGGGGAGAGAGGAGGAGGATCAAGAAACTGACTCATGGGGGAGCAGAATGTATTCATCTTTTCTTTGTCTTCTCCATGCACTGTACCTCTCAACTGGGAAAGCAGATGTCTTGGATGCTCAAAGGAAATAAAGGTGGCAATTAAATACTGACAAGAGAAATAATAAAAATAAAAAAAAAAAGTACAGAGAAAGAAAGACCGCCTCCTTTTTCAACTGTATGCCGTGATCCTGTGATCCTGACAATCTTTTCCCCATTTATCAACATGACAAAGATCAGAGGATTTGATCTTAAGGGCCTGGGCAGTGAGGATTTTTGAGTCATCCAACAAATGGGTGTGTTTCTTGTTCACACCCTCCTCACCAGTCCCATCCTCCACCCAACCCCATCCCTGTAAGTAAGCAACCGATTTTCAGGGCACTTGCATGACTGCTGTAACAGGTCCCATATGCCCAGCCTCAGAGCCTCAGATGCTGACACTGCCCCAGCTGAGCTCCCAAGGCCCCGGACTGCCTTTAGTACTGCATCACCTTAAACAGTTCATATCCCCTACTCTCTCCCATCCTCCCCAGGTTCTGAGTGCTGCCAGGGGAATATAATAAACCCCAGAGAACTGGTTTGGAAGGACATTTTCTGTGCTTATTTCAACTGCCACTTCTCAGAAAACCTTTTATCCCACATTGCTCACTATTATGCTTCAAGTAGTTTTTCTCAAACCCTCAGCTCTAAAGAGATGTCCTGGATTTCTTTGTGCCCCGGACCTCAAATGATGACAGTTGTTCCTCCTACTAAGGTGACAAAAACAAGACAATGCCATAGGCATTCAAAAAATTGTCTCAATATTCCCTCTGCCTAATTATATGTCCTTTGTTCCCCACGCACAGGAAGAAATGCCCCTTTATCCCTTTTAAACTTAAACGTAACCTCTACCACATTTCATTCCTGCTTAACCCCACCTCCTTCTCTAGCCAGAGAACTTCTGGCTCTCATTCACTCTCTCTTTTTTTACCACAGGCTCTTGATGGTAAAACTCTGGTTAATATTCATTCCACTTTATTCCATCATGACCAGGCCTCTGTGTGGCCCAAACTTCCTCTTCTCTAACTTCATCATGAACTTGAGCAGCCTGCCTCCTACTCTCACTAAGGCATTGAGTTCACCAGTAAACTTCAGTATACGCTCTTCTTTGGGTTAAACTGATTGACTCCCAGGCTACATCCAATACATATCTCAGGGCTTTTAGAGTTACAAGGCCTTAGATTCACATCTTGGCTTTTCCCCATACTAGGTAATTACCTTGCTAAGTCATTTACCTTTTTGAGTCTTGGATTGCTCATTTGCATAATGAAAATGATAAGATTTACCTTATAGCCATATCACAACCAAGTGATGAGGGCCTTCTATTCCTCTCTTAACTCTACAATGGCTAGCAGAGAATTGAGCACAGAGCAGGCACTCAATGAACTTGGGCAATGGGTGGTAGTGCATTTGAAGTGACCTCAACAATAAATTAAATAGGATCAAATATAGGAAGAAGGGAAACATAGCTAGAAGGTTGAAGCATTTCTTTGTGGTGATTAAAAAAAAATAACAAAAGATTTGAAAAGTAAAGGGCTCTTTAGTAATCCTATTGTGAAGGCCAAAAGTAACAAAGGCTTACATTAAAGTATCAGAAGATGAGTCAAAGGAAGGTTTCTTGTGTTTTGAAAGAAATTCAGAGGGAAGTTAGGGAGGTCTTGCTGCCATCTATTATCTGCCTTTCAATTTTATTCTTCTTGCCTCTTAATGGAGAGTAGAACCGTTTTCTACAGCTGTCTCTCTGGTTTCAAATGAGACAAGGACAATGCTTTGACAAAGGAGATGCTACCACTCTGCTTCCTGCTTCCTACAGCTTTTAAGCCGATAATTCTGTCCTTGATCACTGCATAATTATCTTCATTATATTAGATCCTCATATTATCCTCGTTTCATAAATGAGGAAACTGAGGTTCAGAAAGATTAAGTGACTCACCTTCTTAAGAAGTCCTCTTAAGATATTAATGTGATTAAATCCCTGTTCCTACAATAGGACACTGTAAAAAGCCTTGCATCAGATTTGTATGACAGAGATATATAAGGAAAAAAAAATCGCTGTAAGAAAAAGCTTCTAGATTTGACAGTCCTCGGTATTATCTAAGTCTGCAGAAACATGAAGTTCTTTCTGCTGGCATGGTTGAAATGAGCAAAATTAAGCCTCATTTTAGCAGTGATTTTTACCATACCTTCTTACATATTCTTTCTTTTAATTAAATAATTAGCTGTACTGCCACAGATGTGGTGAATTGTAGGACCTTGAATGCAAGATCTCCTGGGAAAGAACTGACAAAAACCAGAAGGGCCAGGGCTGGGGTGCTAAACTCTTGGGGTTTTGACCTTAAGGGGATTAAGCAGCTTCCCAGTGTCCAAGGTACTGGGTGGTCTAATTGAGGGTTGATCAACTCTGATGTGCTGGTGACACATGGAAATAAGCCAATAATATGCAGAAAGTGGTAATATTTTGAATAAGTTGTATACATAAACCCAAGTGTTGGGAGCACCCATAACTTTAATGCAGTATCACAGAAGAAAAAGGCAGGGCTTGGATCTTGGAAAAATGAGGCTGAAGAGAATTAGGGAGATTAGAAATTGTCAGAACTCCAGGGAGAAATTTGATGCTCAGATATTCCCCCCAAATAAAGAAAGGAATGTAAAATGTGAATTAAGAAATTGATGGGGCTGGGGATATGGCTAAAGTGGTAACGCGCTCGCCTGGCATGCTGGGTTCGATCCTCAGCACCACATAAAAATAAAATGAAGATGTTGTGTCCACCAAAAACTGAAAAATAAATATTAAAAAGTTCTCTCTCTCTCTCTCTCTCTCTCTCTCTCTTAAAAAAAAAAGAAATTGAGGCACATAAATAATCACGTGACTTAGATCCAGGAACTATTTTAGGCATTTTGCATGTAAATTACAAATAAATTCTTTCATTCATTCACTCTCTAAAAACAGTATTATAATCAGCCATTAGAGGAGGTAGTAAAATGAAGATATAATAGCCTGACCTCAGAATGCATTTTAGTGATATGGGGACCTTTATACTTTCCCCTCCTCCATGTTTAGACACCCTGAACTCTTTCTATCCCACAAAGGGTCAAATCCTCTTTGCTCTTTGGACCTTTGGTGTATCAGTTTTCCTGTTCCATGGTTCTTTGCCTGACCTCCTCAGGCTACACCCTAATCTTCCCTCACCGTTTACTAATTGCTTCTAATTTCAAAATGATGTAAATTCTTTATATGCAAAATGATGTTTTACTCAGCCATAAAGAAGAACAAAATAATGGCATGTGCTGGAATGGAAGGAACTGAACAGCATCATACTAAATGAAATAAGCCAGGCTCAGAAAGTCAAGGATCAAGTGCTTTCTCTCATATGTGGAAGCCAGAGCAAAATAAGGAGGAAACGGGAAATAAATCTCATGGAAATAGAAGATCAATGAAATAGAGGGAGGGGATTGAGTGGGAGGGAAGAAGTTTGAGAAAAGAGAGGAACTGCAGGATGAAATTGGCCAAATTAAGCTATGAAACCTGTATGAGTATACCACAGTGAATTCCACCTTTATGTATGTCTATAAAGCATCAATTAAAAAAAAACAATAAATATAAAGTAGGAAGAGTACAGGTAGGGGAGAAGAAGAGGGAGGGGAAGTAAAGAAGAAGTAATGGGGACAGAAATGGGGAAAATCATATTCCATACATGTATGATTATGGTGAAATGAACCCAACCATTATGTACAACTATAATTCACTAAGAAAACATTTTTTTTTAAAGTGGAAAAAATAATACAAATTCTAACCTTATTAAATATTTACTATACACCTGCCTCTGATCAGGTGTATAGCATTTTGCAGTTATTTTTTTTAAGTCCTTATAATTACTATCTGAGCTAAATAGTATTAATATAATTCCAGTTTTAAAATAAAACAGAATAGAAAGGTTAAATAACTTGCCCCCTCATATTCAGCTAAAATAAGGAAGAACTGGCCTTGAATGTAAATAGACTGACTTCAGAGTCCATGATTTTATCTGCTCAACTATATCATTTCCCAGATGAAGAATTTTTTTCATTAAAAAAATGCTAACATAGACTTAGTAAGGTACTCACAAAATACATATAGAAAAACATTTCTGAGAACTAAATGTGAGACAAAGTGTTTTTTGATTAATTTATAACTAATCAAGATTAATGAAGTGATACAAGTCCAAATGAAAAATTTTACTAATCATTAGAAGAAAATTCTATAAAAAAATGTTGATAGAATTAGAACAATAATTAGACTGCCAAAAAGACCCATTGTGAAATGTTAAAATTGGCATCAGTGAAATGGAAAATTTTCCTTAATTTTAAATATCATTACTTGCTGCAATGCTCACCTGATATAATGGTGGTCTGTCAAGAATTTTTTAAAAAGAAGAAAAGAAAAACTCTTTGTCTGAAACAACTCAACTTTTATCTAATTTGATACAGAATATAATTTTGTAAGGTTTTTTTTTAGGTTTTGGAAGTCTAAATTCCATGAGGATTGATAGAAGATGTGTCATTTTTTTTTTTTTTAAATGAGTGTGTCATTTAAACTTCCCAAAATCTGAGTAAGGATCATTTGCAGGGACAACAGAAAGTGCAAATATCAGGACACTTACAGAATTGTTTGTACCTGTTGTCTTTTTTTTTTTCTTGCATTGCTGATAATGTGTCTGCTACTATATAGATCCAGGTGGGTGGGTTATGAAGAGCAGTCTATTCGCATTTTGGGTTGAACATTTTTGGAGTTGTTTATATGCCTGATTTAATGTAGTAGCATCTCTGCACCCACACATGTTTCTGGCCCTTTTCCAAAGTGGTGGAGCTGCTTCCCTGTACAATACCTCAGCTCCCACCACTAATGAAGGCAAAACCTCTGGCATTTCAGTCCTAATGCACCCACAAACACAGGTCGAGGTAAGTGTTCACAAAGTTTTATGCAAAATTTACAGTGCTATAAGAGGTCATGAACTATTAACCCTACAAGGGGTATTTTTGTGTTTACCACACAATGTTAGACTAATGATTTGGATAATAAGCCAGCAGTA